CATTTCTCGGGGGCATGTCACAGAAGTCATAAAGGTTCAATGTAAGAGAAAGTTTCGGGCCAATAGTTAAAAATACGGCTATAATAAATCGTTTAAGTTCGACAGTATTTCAGAATAAGCGACAGCAATGTTTCTTATTGGAGTTTTATGGAATTAGGAATAATATCAATTACGTGTTTGAGTTTGTGTGTGTAGAGCCGCGTTATATAGATAGTTACAAGACGGCGGCGTGTAGTTCGCTCTTACGGATTTCCGTAATTTCAGAAAAATGAAAAAATATTTACCTACAATTTTTTTTATTGATTCAAAGTCAAAGCATTTATTTCAATTAAACCATAATTTGGTACTTTTGAAACGTCAACAAATACAAAATAAATAATAGTCTGTCAGTCAGTCCGTCAGTGCAGCTAGGTGAAGCTAGGTGTTCATTCCAAAATGTAGATTTGAATGAAGAAGAACGAGCAAGAAATTTCATCCGTTACTCTTTTTTAAAAAAGTATGTTCTACAATGTGATGATTTGGACTCACAATCGATAGCAGAGTTACCTCCTAGAAAATGACGCGGCTTTAAAACAACACCTTGTATAGATAGTCTAGCAGTCCCGACAAACTTCATGCTACCTAAAAATGGTTTGTCATCTTTTAACCCTTCCCTGGACTTCCACGAACATTTCAAGACCAAAATTAGCTTAATCGGTTCAGCCATTCTCGGGTTTCAGCGACTAACATAACATAACATGGTTATAATATTTATAATCTATACATTAAGGCGCTGTTTTTGAAACTCCACATATAAAACGTGTTTTTGGTATTTTTAACTATTTAATATCACAATTATCTGTGTATAATTGAAATAAATGCTTTTGAGTTCTTGGTTAGCTTCTGTCAACGGCTTTGCTCTCGGTATCAAGATAAAAAGTAGCCTATGTGTTATTCCAGATTATAAACTATCTGTCTACCAAGTTTCATCTAAATCCGTTCAGTAGATTTTGCGTAAAAGTGCTACAAACATATATTGTCGTAAAATTTCGCATTTATAATATTAGGAACGATTTAATTCGTTGAGTACCGTCATTATAGACACAATTAAACTGTCAAACACCAAGCGGTCACCGGTGACCGCAACCTATTGTTCTATAATTGTGTCTATAATGACGGTACTCGACGAGTTAAAGAACAATAGGTTGTGATCACCGGTATCCTTGCGGTGTTTGACAGTTGAAAGATACAATTGGGTACTTTCCTCAAAAATAAATTATTTCGACTGTTCACTACAATAAAATATTAATAAATAATCACACTTTCATTCATTGATTTTATGACCAACTTAATTTTATTATTCTTCAAGCAAATTTTCAAGAAATAACTACGCTGTTTGACGGTAAAAAAACGTGACGTCACAATACACAATCTCGTACAAAATTCATAGAAAACTCTCGTTTTTGACAGTTCGAAAAAAGTATTGAATTTGACTAGTTGGCAAGTACACAATTGTCTTGAAATCGTATCATAAACATTTAAATTAAATATACAATAGTTTTTGTGAATATCGAAAACAATGTCTTCATTATACTATTCAATAGATAGTTATTTGAAACTACCATCGTAATAAATATTTGTTATATAAAAAAACAATTGGTTTTATATTATGTGTCGTCATGAGCTAATGGTAACATGTAAACAGTGACTCATATAGTGTAGAGATTGTCCAGTCAACTGATGGTAGCGTGGACTGTCCAGGCGCCACGAACTATGAAATACATGATGTATAATATAAAACTATTTTTTTTTTAAATTATTGATACAACTAAAATATTAATTATACTCTGAGAAGAAACGCTGAAAGAAACTCAGAGGTCAATATGAATACTAGCGACCCGCCCCGGCTTCGCACGGGTGCAATGCTCATGTAATTTACGACATTACATTAGAAACCTCTAAATTTATCAGTGATTCTCTACTATATTATGCATGTATACATATAAACCTTCCTTAAGAATCAGTCTATCTATTTAAAGAAACCGCATCAAAATCCGTTGCGTAGTTTTAAAGATCTAAGCATACATACGGACATACAGATGGCGGATAGCGACTTTGTTTTATACTATGTAGTGAAGTGGAATTTTAAATAAAATTTTATATCTGAAAATGTCATCGAAATCTAAGAATTCAAACCATATATTTACAAGAGAAAAATCAGTTTGTTTTTGTTTAAAAAATCCAATGACAAGTGAAATAAATGTTATTTTTTTTTGCTTTTCCTCACATGAACTATATGTTAACGTTTTATTTATATATAATTACAATTATATATAGAAATATCTATAATAATTATGTATGCGTCGAAAAAATTTTATGTTTTTTCTTTTTTTTTTGTTTTTTTTTTATACGAACTCCAAAATTTTTTTGTCGTCGGCCTTAGATTTGGTCGTAAAGTTCAATTGTGGAATAGTTTTTTTGTTAATATTTCAGTCTAATAGGTTTTTTTTTTATAAAACATTTTTTTTTAATTTTTTATGAATTTTTTTATAGATTTTTTTTAAATTTTTCAACAAAATTTTCGTTTTAATCTTACGGAGTACTCATTGATTGATAGTCACATTGCATGAGGTCTAGGGTTCGATTCCCGAGCAGAGTAAAATATTATCATATTTTACGATTTCTAATTTTTAATCATAACAAGTTATTTTAAAAAGTCATCCATTCTATTTACGTAGGATAACCTACTTTTTAATTTATGCTTTTTTTTTCGTTTCAATTGTAAGAAACATTTCAAATTGAACTTTATTACTGAGACTATAAGATTCACATCCCGGTACGGTTTGGAGTTCGTATATAGTATAGTATTTATATAACTACTGTTGGAGTAAGAATTAGTGAAAAAAAATAATTAAAAAATTAAAAAAAGGATTTTTTTGTTTCATTTTTTTTCTGCACCCTCAATCGACGAGCTCCACTATTAACATCATCAACAGCCTATAAGCGGCCACTGCTGACCAAAGCCCTCTTCTCACACGGAGAAGGTTTGAGCATTAATCACCACGCTTGCTCAATGCCTGCACGGTTGGCGCGGAGGCTGGGCAACTGGCTGCCGCGCAACGTGTCGCGGGTTCGATTCCCGCACGGAACAACACTTTGTGTGATCCACAAATTGTTGTTTCGGGTCTGGGTGTCATTGTGTATGTGAACTTGTATGTTTGTAAACGCACCCACGACACAGGAGAAAATC